GAGCTGCCAGAACAGCTTCAACTCTATTTGAGGGATGTGACACCATTCTTCCATGAGAAATCCCATAATTTGGTGTTTTGGTGATGGTAATGAAAACGTGGTCTCAGGCGCTGCTCCAGAATCTCCCAGTGTCCAATTGGGTTGAGATCTGGTGACTGAGACACACACACATACTCTTTAACCCCCTATGCTCCTTTGTGACCCCTCTTTCAAAGTCACTGAGATATCTTCTTCTAGCCATGGTAGCCAAAATAATGGGCAACTGGGCATTTTAATATATGACCCTTGCTTAATTAACTCAGGAATCACACCTGTGTGGAAGCACCTGCTTTCACTATGCTTTGTATCCCTCATTTACTTAAGTGTTTCCTTTATTTTGGCAATTACCTGTAGATCTACAAGCTAAACGTTTGTTAATATATAATAGTATGAATACAGAGATCGCCATGTTGTACTGCAGTGAAAATTCCTCTATATTGCAAAATAGGATGTGTGTATGGGGGGAGGGTTCCAAATTGAGGGGGTGGTGTTTGTCACATTGGCATTTTCAACTACATTCCTTTCTTTTTAAAAGAGATATAGAGAGTAAGTAAGTGAGATATACAGAGAGAGAGAGCGGGAGAGAGAGGGGGGAGACATACACACACACACACGGTCTCAGTAACAAACAGGGTATTGTCCTGCTGTGGACTTCACCCTTCCTGACGGAGCCCCCTGGAATGGACCTTAGTCTCCCTGCACTGATTAACTGGTGTGTGTGTGTGTGTGTGTGTGTGTGTGTGTGTGTGTGTGTGTGTGTGTGTGTGTGTGTGTGTGTGTGTGTGTGTGTGTGTGTGTGTGGTGGGGGACCACAAAGCAAACAAACTGCCTGATTGCAGTCTGGTACATAGAGAAACACATACGAACTGGGGATCTATAAAGCAAACAAATATGCGCTGATTGCAGTCTAAACACAAACGGAGAGAGTGAGAGGGGGAAGAAGGGGTGAGAGCGGGGAGGGAGGGAGAAGGGGGTGTTGAGGTTGTGACTATAGTTAACCCTCGTCCTTCTGAAGAAAGCACGGTATGTAAGAAATCTAAACACACACACACACAAACACGTTTGAAGATTGCAGCAAAGGTGGCCTCTGGAAATCCTCTTTAACCCCAGGTTCAGACTAATATGGTGTGTGTGTGTTTGTGCGAGTTCTCGATGGGAGTCTTCTCCCACTGTTCTGGATGTTGTTAAAGTAAATTTTCAGCAGTTCTGTATTGTTTTATTTATTTATTTTTGTACCCCTTTTTTCTCCCCAATTTCGTGATATCCAATTGGTAGTTACAGTCTTGTCCCATCGCTGCAACTCCCGTACGGACATGGGAGAGGCGAAGGTCGAGAGCCATACGTCCTCCAAAACACGACCCTGCCAAGCCACACTGCTTCTTGACACACTGCTCGCTTAACCCGGAAGCCAGCCGCACCAATGTGTCGGAGGAAACAACGTACAGCTGGCGACCGGAGTCAGCTTGCGGGTGCCTGGCCCGCCACAAGGAATCGCTAGAGCGCGAGGGGACAAGGACATCCCAGCCGGCCAAATCATCCCCTAACCCGGACGACGCTGGGCCAATTGTGCGCCGCTTCATGGATCTCCCGGTCACGGCCTGCTGTGACACAGGCTGGGATCGAACCCGAGGCTGTAGTGACGCCTCAAGCACTGTGATGCAGTGCCTTAGACCGCTGCGCCACTCGGGAGGCCTCACCAGGAGTTCTACAGATTCACTTAGAATCTACAGCCTACCCACTTCTCCCTTCTTTCTCTCCTTCTCCTCTCCTTCTCTTTTTCCCTTTCTCCTATACATACCCTGCTGAGGTCTTCTCATCTCTGTGTTGTACTATCACTACTCAGCAAAGGGCAAGAAAACACCAGTTTGGCTGGATGCCACAATAACACTCATCTCTTCCTCTCTTCCTTCTCTCTTTTTACCCCTCTATTTCTCTCTCTCTCTCTCCCTCTGTGCCCCTCTGAAATGTTCTCTCTTGTTGTTTCTGTAGTTCCAAAACTGGTCTCTTCCTTTTTCTCTCTCTCCCACTCCCCCACTCTCTTTCCCCCCTCCCTCCCCCTCTCTCCCCACTCCCCCCTCTTTCTCTCTCTCTCTCTCTCTCCACCACTCTCTCTCTCTCTATCTCCCTCCCCCCTGCCTTCCTCCCTCTTCTTCCCTCTCTCTCCCTCCCTCCCCCCTCTCTCTCTCTTCTAGACAGGAAGTACCTCTGCGTATTTCCCTGTGTGGAACAATAACACTGTGGAACTCTGGGTATTATTTTAACAGCGTCCCAGTCTTTATCTGCTCCGAACATAGCTTCCTCTCTGCCTCTCTTTCTGTTTCTCTCTCTCTTCCTCTCCCCCTGAGTCACTCACAGTATTCTGCCTAGAGAGAGATAGAGGGATTGAATGGGAGTGGGGGAGGGAGGGAGGATGGGGGGAAACAAAGGCAGAGAGAGAGCTATGTTTGGTCTATGTGACTGAAGCGAGGGACGGTGAGAGGAAGGGAGAGAGAGGGACGAGGGGGTAGATGAGATTTGTCGGTAGTTTTTTTTCCAGATTGGAGTCTAGGTCAGTTGAGATGGACCACAGAGAGAGAAATGACTTTGAACACATTCTGGAGGACTGTAGGGCTACTCCGAAGGATATAACTACTCCTAGAAACAGAACCAAACTCTCTTAATAGGGTTAGGGTTTGGACTGTTGAACTACTCCTAGAGACAGAACCAAACCCACCTGGCAAGGCCAGAGAACTGGAATAAGGAGGGAAGGAGACAAGAGGATTGAGAACTTAGGGGAGCTTCTTATCCCAACAGTTTTTATTGTTTGTGGTCTTGGCCTCTTTTGAACACCGCAGTGGAAATGTTAAGTTGAAGACTTGATAAACAGTACTACGTAGCCGGACCACCTTCTTTGGGCTAAGTCCATTGTCGTCTGTGTTGGATTGGAGATCTTTGGGCGTCTTTATAAGGACTGCTCTCAGACCAGTCTATGGTTGAACTAAGGTTGGGCCTGACCCTGACTGTGACCCAGTAGACACGGTTCTAGGATCAGGTGTGACTAGGGCCTCTTCTGTGTGGATCCTTTCTGGTAGGTTATAGACTGACTCGGAAACAGTTAGAAAGTATGGGGTGTTTGTTTCCTCTTATCTCCTTCTTTAGTGCCTCTCCTTTTCTCTTTTTGATCCTCTACCTTCCATTAATCTTCTCCCTTCTGTGCAGTGTGTACTGTTCTACCTTCACTCCACTTTGTGTCTTTGAACTTGTGACTGGGTGTGACTGGGTGTGTGTCTGATCTCTGTTTTTGTGTGTCTGTCTTAATGTGTCTCATTTCATTACTCGGTGTCATTATGACTCAGAGTAAATGACCTTCAATCTAGTCTCTTCAACTTGAATCTAGTTTAGGAGTCAGTATCAGTCAGCTGTTCTAGTTTCTTCTACCACGTACAGCATATCAGTTGTTTCTGTATCAGTGTTTCACGCAGTCATACATTCACAATGTTTTATGGGTCAAAGTAAACATAAACCATGGAAAATGGTTTATCTTGCAATCTGTCCATCAGTCAGAGTAAAGCATTCAGCTACTGTTCTGTAGACTGTGTTTATAAATAGAACTAAGGACGGTCTTGTCTTGTGAAGTTTATTTGATTTCCTGAATGTCAGACGGTGTCCGACACTGATTGGTTCCAGTCGCTAACTGGCTAATCAGGTTAACTGTGGCTTGGTATGTAAGGGGGCGATTTAACCTTTCCTTTGTATCTGGCTGCTTGACAAATGTAACACTAGGACTAGGTCAGTGCACACTCTGTCTGAGTACAGTAGAACTATATTACATCTCTAGATAACGTGTTTGTTTTCTTCCATTTCAATATTTTTTTTTATAACTCTCTGTTTCACTTATGTATTTCATGTCATGTTTCAGAACCGGCCCATACTGTATTTAAAGATATACTGTACTTAGAATCTGATCCATTGAACTACACTAGGAAATACATGAAGAAAAGTTATTTTGAAGTATACTGCAGAAGATAAATATGATATTTGGATATCAAATATCTCTATTTTTTGTCTTCTGCAGTATACTTCAAAATAACTTTTCTTCATGTATTTCCTAGTGTAGTTCAATGGATCAGATTCTAAGTACAGTATATCTCTAAATACAGTATGGGCCGGTTTTCCCAGACACTATATTTGCTTCTTGTGTTTTTATTTTATTTTAGCTTTGTTTTCATAGTCATCAATCATTCCAGACCCAATCTGGGCTCTTTAACAGTCCTGGGACGAAACTAATCTTAGCTCCATTGTTAGTCCTGGAATAAATGATAATAGTGTTTGTTTTATACCATCTGGGAACTTCCAAAATCTCTCTCCCTAATTCCTGAACTATACCAAGAGGAACATTTTCAGGGAACCGACAATCATTCTGACACGCACGCACGGACACAAACACATAATCGTCCTGAGAGAAATACAAAAGGAGCAATTTTAGGAACTACTCAGTTTACTTTAATGAATTGCCTTAAATCATAAACAGAAATATTCCCAAGTGTTCTGACTTCCGTCTGTGCCAGATCCGTATTCTTCCTCCATCAGGGTTCTTCCTCCTCAGACATGTTCCCGGAATATACCTGGAATTCCGTGTTTTAGTTTGTTTTCACCATCAGTGGAAATTCTCTCCTGAGAGGAAAACGTTTTCGAGTTATTCCAGGAGGTTATTCCCGGTGCGTTATTCCGAAGTTATTAATAGCTTCAGAATAATAGGCCATTTATGAGCAGGAATCTCCCGGGAACTCACCGAAGTTCCAGGCTCCTACCTGGCATATATACACACACACAGGCACACACTCACTGTCTGCTTATCGTACTTCCTTTAGGGTGTACACGGATTCCTTTTGGGTGAACCGACAAATCACATTACCCCTTATGTAGCTACTGTAGTTACATTCTCCCTCACCTGTATGTGTGTGTTCTCGCTCTCTCTCCAGACGCAGTGTGCCTGTGATCAGGCCTCACTCGTGGCACCTGACCAAGCTGTCATCAACGGAGTCTCCCCACAGTTCTACCCCCGTCCCCCCTCCTCCCCTCCCTGCCCCCCCCTCTGCCATGCAGCTCTATCCTGGGCCCTACACACTACCCTGGCACTCTACAGCAGACAACAGGTAACATACACACAGATGCGTATATACACACGCATACACACACAAACACACACACTGGGCCCATACACTACCCTGGCACAGCAGACAGCAGGTAATGGTAATTTATATTGGGAAGATGCGGGACGACTAATTACCCTGGCTTATATGTGAATTAGATTTTAGAGCAGTCTGTCCCATTCTATCCGATTCCTCCGGAGAATCTTGTCTCCCAACCTGCTGTCAAGCTACGTTTGCGCGCGCCACGTTTGTGTGAGTATCTGATAATCATAATACTGAGTGAATCGTGAATAATGGGTCCCCTGTAGCTCAGTTGGTAGAGCATGGCGCTTGCAACGCCAGGGTTGTGGGTTCGTTTCCCACGGGGGGCCAGTATGAAAATGTATGCACTCACTAACTGTAAGTCGCTCTGGATAAGAGCGTCTGCTAAATGACTAAAAATGTAAAATGTAAATAATGATGAGTTAGAAAGTTACAGAGGGTAAAACATCGTACCCCCAAGAAATGCTAACCTCCCCTTTTGGTGATGGTGAGAGGTTAGCATGTCTTGGGGGTATGATCTTTGACCCGATGTAACTTAAATCACTCATCATTATTCACGATTCATTCAAGATTATCCGTAATAATAGTAGCATCCACATTAATGTAGAAGGGCTTAGAAACATATTATATTCTTATTTACAATAAAAGTGAGTCCAAAATCACACAATACATTATTTACCATTCATTTCTATTGGGCACATAATAATCTGAAACACAACCAAAACAAACTGCAAATGCATCCAACAAGTTTGTAGTCACAAGCTTGATTATAGACATTGTGTGCTAGGAATATGGGACCAGATACTCAACTTTTGACTACTTTATTTATAAGAATCTTTAGGGATGTCAATAATTTTGACCCCTACCTTTTTGAGAAAAATTATTATTACTTGTTAAACCAAATCTCTTTCTCTGAGCAATTGTGTTAGTATAAAATGATATAATTTTCAAAACAAATTGAGCATACAATATAACTCAGTATTTGAATTATTTATTTTATACAGTCATTATTGCTCATCTTTATTTTTTATATATTTAACCTTTATTAACTAGGCAAGTCAGTTAAGAACAAATTCTTATTTACAATGACGGCCTACCCCGGCCAGACCCGGACAAAGCTCAGCCAATTGTGCGCCGCCCTATGGGACTCCCAATCACGGCCGGTTGTGATACAGCCTGGAATCGAACCAGGGTCTGTAGTGACGCCTCTAGCTCTGAGATGCATTGCCTTAGACCGCTGCGCCACTTGTGAGCAAGGGTGTTTATCAAGAGTGTCAATAATTTCGGACCGCTGTGTGTGTGCGCGTGCATGTGTGTGTGTATCTGAGCTGTGTGTGTGCGTATCTGAGCTGTGAGTGTTTTTGTTTGAGGCTGGGTACACAGTCTTGTGGGAGTGTATTGTTGGGCAGACCAGACCAGGGGAATTTTGTCCCTGTCTGGTCTGTGGTCCTCTGTTGCTCAGCTGGTAGAGCACGGCGCTTGTAACGCCAAGGTAGTGGGTTCGATCCCCGGGACCACCCATACACAAAAAATAATTATAATGTATGCACGCATGACTGTAAGTCGCTTTGGATAAAAGCGTCTGCTAAATGGCATATTATTATTATTATTATTATTATTTCCAAAGACTAGCAATCACACACACACACACAAACGCACGCACACACACACAGAGCAGACCAGGGGAATTTTGACCTGTGACGTGTTTCCAAAGACTAACAATCATCAGGAAGCTTAGTGACCTCATCATGTTCTAAAGTCAATAGCATCACGGAGGATAACGTGTATTTTCAGACAGGCATCGATTCAGACATTCCTCATTGGCTGATCACCCAATGGTAGGACCCCAAAACTATCAAAATGGCTTTTCACACTACTGAACCAAACCGGGCCGAGCCAAAGTTGCTGGAATAACATTTGAGCCAGCACAGTTTAGTTTGGGTCAGGTACCATAGTATAAAAAGGGTATACGTCTTGCTTTCCAAATAGTACCCCATTCCCGCATACTGCACTGCTTTTAGCCTGAGTGAATAATGTAATTTTGGATTGACCCTAAATCTGTGAGGAAGGACCAAAAGCACCAATGATTTCAACAACAAAGAAAATCTATATAAGAGTTAAGAAAAAACACAGTGAATTGGTTGAGAGAAAATAGTTTGAAGGAGATTTTAGTTGATTAAAGTCAACACAAATAAGTACATTGAAATGTTTCCAAAGCATATACATACTGTATACTAAACAAAAATATAAAGCAACATGTAAAGTGTTGGTCCCATGTTTCATGAGCTGAAATAAAAGATCCCAGAAATGTTCCATTCTCACAAAAATATTATTTCTCTCAAATGTTGGGCACAAATTTGTTTACATCCCTGTTAGTGAGCATTTCTCCTTTGCCAAGATAATCAATCTACCTGACAGGTGTGGCATATCAAGAAGCTGATTAAACAGCATGATCATTACACAGGTGCACCTTGTGCTGGGGACAATAAAAGGCCACTCTAAAATGTGCAGTTTTATAACACAACACAATGAGGGAGCGTGCAATTGGTATGCTGACTGCATGAATGTCCACCAGAGCTGTTGCCAGATAATTGAGTGTTCATTTCTCTACCATAAGCCACCTCCAACGTCGTTGGCAGTACGTCCAACCGGCCTCACAACCGCAGACCACGTGTAACCACGCCAGCCCAGGACCGCGATTGTCTGAGACCAGCCACCCGGACAGCTGATGAAACTGAGCAGTATATCTGTCTGTAATTAAAGCCCTTTTGTGGGGAAAAACTCTGATTGGCTGGGCCTGGCTTCCCAGTGGGTGGGCCTATGCCCTCCCAGGCCCACCAATGGCTGCGTCCCTGCCCAGTTATGCGAAATTCATACATTTGATCCTAATTAATTAATTTCAATTGACTGATTTCCTTATATGAACTGTAACTCAGTAAAATCGTAGAAATTGTTGCATGTTGCGTTTATATTTTTGTTCAGTATAGTAATATAACTATGCTTTATGTGAAAGGTGTGTGTTTGTGCCTGTGTGCATTACTGACTCTAGCCAATAACAACAGGAAATAGATTCCTTGATATGTTCAGTACATTAGAATGTCCTCAGTTAGCTGTGCTGTGTGTCACTGTAGCGTACACACACAGAGACACGCACACATGCACGCAGTGGTTCCCCTTTGATAACTATCAATGGTATAATTCACTACAATTACCCCTAATAGTTTTAACAGCCTTAGATAGGCCAGTGTTTATGTATCACACACACACTAATGGCTTTGACTGGCGTAGATAGGCTTGAGTTTACGTAAAGCTGTAGTCTCTTTGTGCTTCAATTCCCACAGTTATGCAGGCCTGTCATCGCCTTTATTGCCACATACACAAAACACTCACACACACACACACACACACACACACAATGCAATGTCTGAGACATATTCTCTCTGCATAACAGGACAATGGCATGTGACTCCCAGAACATGTGGACAAAGAGAGGAAGACAGTTAATAAACAGAATGCGAGTGTGTGTGTGTGTGTGTCTGTGTGTGTGTGACTTCCTTTGGGATGTACCGTCAAAAGTTCCAGAAACGTTACACAACCCCTTATATAGCTAATCAAGACCTCAAACAAAGGCTGACAGTCAGGCTCGAGTCCGACTAGATGACACTGTGTCTGTGTCCACTCTAATTCACCATAGAGTTGTTATTCCTGTCATGTTCCTTATCATCCCCGGATGGAACATTCGGGAGGGAGGGGATGTCATTTCCTCTTGTTACGCCATCATTTCCTGTCGCCCTCTCTACCCACGATGCAGCAGTAATCCCTGACTGCTTAAAGAAGCTACCGTTCAAATCTGCTATTTTTTTCTTTCCTCCTTAATAATCCTTCAGAAACACATGGTCGAGGTAGATCTACCAATAGGAATACTGTAAGGCAGATTAAATCAAGTAGTATATCCTACGCTTCTCTTACTTTACCATTTAGACTAGTGCAACTATAGAAGAGATTCAGCTTCAGTAGGCCTACTTCTTAAGATATAAATAATGTAGCATCTGGTATATGTAGGGTAAAGGACCAAAATATGACTAGTATTGATGATAATGCTATTTACTTAACAGAAATTAGTAATCACTCATTATTACATCTCCCCCACCCTCTCTCCTCTTTACAGTGATCTGTCTATCCAGTGGAACCAGCTCTCCAGACACTACTCCACAGACAGAAGCAGTTCCCTAGGTAGCATGGACAGCCTGGACCCTCCTAGCAGCCAAGTGTACTACGATTCCCATAATTCCCCAGTGGACCCGGCCATCTTCAACAATAAGAGAGACTACGATTCCCACAATTCACCAGTGGACCCCGCTACATTGAACAATAAAAGAGACTCGGCCTATAGCTCTTTCTCAGCTAGTTCTAATATGTCAGACTATACTGTCTCACTAAGGCCCGGTGAGGCCTGTTCTATGGAGAATATCCTCCATAGCCTTGGGCCAAGGGGACCTGCCTGCCGGGTTTATGCCTGTGGCAATGCACCATCCCTGGGGAGGGAGTCAGGCGAGGCCCAGGATGAGACCGGTATCTCAGCCCTACTACTAAAGTCGAGATCGCTGACCAGGCCAAGAGTGAGGCAACCGGAAGCGAAGGAGAGACCATCTTCGTACTGTTTTGAGGAGGAGAGGAGAGAGGGGAGAGGGGAGAGGGGTGGAGGAGGAGGCGAGAGGGGGGCTTCAAGCCCCCCCCAGCCCCCAACCAGGAAGGACAGTTTCAGGGCCACGAGGGGTCGCTTGGGGATCACAGATGTCAAAGATCAACGATGCATCTCTGCCCCAGTCGGAATTCCCAGCCTCTTCCGTTGCCATGCCGAGGACGATGACGACGATCCTCATAACGTTCCGGTTGTTCCCAGCAGGAATGGCTATCCTGCTCCTTGCAAGACGTCAAAGGCAGAGGGAGACATGGGAAATGGGAAAAGGAATAGGGTTGGGAATTTTAAAGGAGATTCCTTGGAGCAATACTACACCCTCATCTCCAAAAAAAAAGATTCCCTTATGAATAAGAACTCAGAGATCCAGGAGATCTACCCAGACTCCCTCCACCTCCCTGCCCCAGAGAGAAGCTCCCCTTTCTCCATCCCCAGCTCCAGCTCCCTACCTCCAGACAGCTCCATAGATCCAGACCCCACAGGTGAGGCCAACCACATCCTCCCCCAGAACAAGCACTGCTCGTCGGGTCTTTACAGACACAGCGCCCCTGAGAAACTCTTATCGCAGCTACGTCATCTAGAGTTTTCCAGTGACCCCTCGGAACCTTCGGACCATAGCTCTGTCTCCCCCTCCAGCTCCCAGTGGTCTCACTCCCCCCTCAACCCCCCCAGGGAGGACCTAGGAGGGGATATAGGGAGTCACGATGCCCAACTCCTCCTCCAGCAGAACCAGGGGAAGTGGGAAGGAGGGAGTCGATGCTCTACCCCAGGATCGGTGGACATTGATGGGATTGGGGAGGCAGGAGAGGTGAGTGTGGTGGTTGGGGAGAGTATGGAGGTGGTGGCTGCTGCTGGTACTCTCCTCTTCCCCATCCAGGTCCAACACCCCTGTGGTAGGCCGGTGAGTGTTCCAGGGTCAGGGGAGCCCTCTGGAGGTTGTACACAGGGAGAGGTGAGCTCTGAGCGGGTATGGGAGACAGACTTTGGGCCTCTCAGTGCTGCAGCCAGTGTGGACAGCCTACTGGAGGGAAATCGTAGAGGAGGAGGAGGAGGAGGAGGAAGAAGGGATGATAATGAAGGAGAGGTGCTGATGAAGAAACCCAGGAGTCACCGTTCGTCCCGGGCACGCCGACGCAGCGAACGCTTCGCCACGAACCTCCGAAACGAGATACAGCACAAGAAGGCCCAGCTGTCCAAGAGCAAAGGCCCAGGAGGGTTGCTCTACAGCGGGGAGACGGTTGAGGAAGAAGAAGGTCCAGACCTGGAAGTTCAGGACCTCCAGAGGGAAAAGATTGAGGACCTCGATCCGCCTGCCAAGGAGAGCAGCTCCCAAGGCGTGTGCACCTGTTCCGACGTCAGCCTTTCAGCTCCAGCTCCTGGAGGTCTGAACAGACTATCCTCTTCTTCCACCCCCCAGCTCCACCAGCCTTCCCCAGCCCCAGTTTCAGCTCTACAACCCCCCAGGGATGAAGACCCTGAACCACTAGAGAACCAAGACCAAGCTACAGACCCATTTAAGACACCCCAGAGGTCCGACCCAACCATTCCCTGCTGGGGTATGGGTATCCAGGTCGTGGAGGAGCTAGCACCAGCCGGTAAGGCCCGCCGATGGAGATGGACACCCGAACACAAACTCCAACCAGAAATCGACACTGACCGACGGGGGGAGAAGGTCGGCGTGGCCTTGGGGGTGTCAGGACGAGGGAGGGCATCCTCCACCTCCTCTGCCTCCTCTTCTTCTTCCACCACTTGTTCTTCCCGTGCTGTGGAGTCTGATATTCTACCTTTCGCGGACCGCTGTAAGTTCTTTGAGGAGACTAGCAGGAGTATATTGGTGTCGAATTTGCCAGGTTTGACGAGTCGAAGGCAGAGGCCAGATAGACACGAGAGGCAGCCTCATCCGTCGATACTGGAGAACCAAGGAGGGGGCTATGGACAGGCACAAGCCCAGAGGAGGTACTCCTACCATGGGGGATTCCAGCGAGAAAGTCCCCTGTCGATTAGTACCATGGAGGCCCGGAGACAATCGGTTAGTGGGAACAGGGAGAAAGAAAAGGAGAGGGAGAGAGAGAAGGAGAGGGAGAGGGAAAGAGAGAGGGAGATGGAAAGGGAGGAGAGAGCGAGAGAGAGGCAGAGGGAAAGGGAGGAGAGGGCGAGAGAGAGGGCGAGGTTGTTGGAGAGGGAGGAAATGGTGAGGGAAAGAGAAGAGAGGGCCAGAGAGAAGGAGATGGAAAAAGAGGGGAGAAGGGAGGAAGAGAGACAAAGAGAGGAAAGGGCAAGGCTGAGAGAGATGGAGATGGAGAGAGAAAGGGAGATAAAGTCACTCAGTTCAGCTCAGGATCTCTATGCCAGTCAAACCCAACCCCATGCCTACCCCCAGCCCCACTCCTACTCCCATCCCCAAGCCCAGATCGAGGCCCCTCGTTCAGCCTTCCACCCGGTCAACACCGCTCTCCTCCAGGACAACCAGGCTCTTCACCAGGGTTATCCACCACGGAGCTACACACCAACAGAGGCAAGTATAGGTTACTGTTACACAAGACATAGACACACTCACACACACCTACACACACACATGCACGGGTTGATTTCATATTAAGGCCGTTGGTTCAACGCCAAAGTTTTATACAGTATCTGGAGATGTCCAACAGTATTTAATGGGTCCAGATGTGAATGAGGATGTAGTATATTGAAGCTTGCTTGGCCTTGCCTAAAGCACCCTAAGGAAGGAGGATGGTTGGCCAATACAAGAGGATATAAAGACACACACACACACACTACGTTTTTTTATCAACCGATTCCAGTCTTTGAGATGGGAACTGAATCTACATGCATTTTATTATTAATATCTTGTCACTCAGTTAGCTGTCTGTCCTCCAAATAGAATTTTGGAAAAGGTTTCATATTCTACACATTCAAAGGTTCTAAAAGGGTTCTATTGTTCTAATAGTTCCTCCTCTTTGTTCCAGAAGCTTAAATTACTGACCTTATCATCACTTATATAACTTTTTTAAATAGGTAATGAGCGTTAGTGTCAACAAGCATTATTCTTTAAAACAGATCCTTGGGTGAGCAAGCGACATTCTTACTTCTCTCCGTGTGTGTGTGTTCAGTTGAATAACTTGGCCGATGTGTTCCACAGGCGTATCCTGCTGCGTCTCGACCGTTACCACGGGAACAGACACAGATCAACAGGAAGTTCAGCCTGACCCAGACGTATGTCACTTCCTGTCCACCTCCTGCCTCTACACTCTACACTCACTTTAAGAGAAATAAATAAAAAAATAGACCAAGAAAAAAAGAATGGGTCCCAGTAGACTTCCTCTTTGGCCTGATTGCTGTCTCTCTTGCTCTACCCCCCCTTCTCTCTCCCTCCCTCAGGGACTACCCGCGGTACAGACGTGATTCCTCCACCAGGCCACCAGATTGTGCTATAACAGTAACACCTAACTACCACCACCAGCAAGTCTCCCAAAGTGGAAGTTGTTGGAGTGGCCGGCTGTCTGCCTGTAGTATGGACGAGGAGGACCATCACCAGACGTCTATGGTGGTTAACCCCACATCATCATCATATTCATCTTCATCACTACTACGAAGCAGGGCTATGTCCGAGAATGATCTACACTTTGACTCCACCTACCGCCGTGCTTCACCCTCGGTTGCTATGGGGACACCACTGTCCGAGCTGGAGGAGGGAGGCGGGGTCGAAGGAGGAAGAGTGGGAGTGGGAGGACTTAGGGGAGTGGCTAACAAAAATAAGACTCTACCCCCTCCGAGGCCACCTCCCCCCAAATGGGAGCAGTTCCACCACAGGAGAGCCTCCCACCACACCCTCTTTGCCCCTCCTCTCTTCTCCACCTCTGCTTCTTCATCCGTCCATCCGTCAGTAAACCCCACCCCCCCTCCTCTCCCTCTCACTCCACCAGAGGGTCCCACCTCTCACCCCTCTCACCCTTCATCTCACCACTGTCACCCTGAAAACGAAATGACGCGTCAGCGCTCCTACAGCCTTCCGCCCCAGAGGGAGGAGCTAGAGGGGTGCCAGCGCTGCAGCAGAAGCCAAGTCCAGGAATGGCCCTTTTCCCAGGATCCACCTAGTCCAGGGTTCACAAGCAGGGCCTTCCGGCCGGTGGCCCCGCCCCAAAGAGAGAAAGACACTCCCTCTCACTACAACGAGACACTGCCGCCATCAGAGAACTGTGTCAGGTGAGATGAGACTTAGAGGCACGACACACAAGTGTGTCAGCACTTATATTACTCACTACTCTACAGAGTGTCTATACAGTGCATTCGGAAAGTATTCAGACCCCTTGACTTTTTCTACATTTTGTTACGTTACAGCCTTATTCTAAAAATGATTATTTTTTTCTGTCCTCATCAATCTACACACAATACCCTATAATGACAAAACGAAAACAGCTTTTTAGAAATGTTTGCAAATGTATTACAAATACAAACCTTATTTACATAAGTATTCAGACCTTTTGCTTTGAGACTCAAAATTGAGCTAATGTGCATCCTGTTTCCATTGATCATCCTTGATGTTTCTACAACTTGATTGGAGTCCACCTGTGGTAAATTCAATTGACTGGACATGATTTGGAAAGGCACACACCTGTCTATATAAGGTCCCACAGTTGACAGTGCATGTCAGAGCAAAAATCAAGCCATGAGGTCGAAGGAATTTTCCGTAAAGCTCAGAGACAGGATTGTGTCGAGGCACCGATCTGGGGAAGGTTACCAAAAAAATTATACAGCATTGAAGGTCCCCAAGAACACAGTAGCCTCCATTATTCTTAAATGGAAGAAGTTTGGAACCACCAAGACTCTTCCTAGAGCTGGCCGCCTGGCCAAACTGAGCAATCGGGGGAGAAGTGCCTTGGTCAAGGAGGTGACCAAGAACCCAATGGTCACTCTGACAGACCTCCAGAGTTCCTCTGTGGAGATGGGAAAACCTTCCAGAAGGACAACCATCTCTGCAGCACTCCACCAATCAGGCCTTTATGGTAGAGTGGCCAGACGGAAGCCACTCCTCAGTAAAAGGCACATGACAGCCCGCTTGGAGTTTGCCAAAAGGCACCTAAAGACTCTCAGACCAGGAGTGGCTTCGGGACAAGTCTCTGAATGTCGTTGAGTGGCCCAGCCAGAGCCCGGACTTGAACCCGATCGAAAATCTCTGGAGAGACCTGAAAATCAAATCAAATCAAATTGTATTTGCCACATGCGCCGAATACAACAGGTGTAGACATTACGGTGAAATGCTTACTTACAGCCCTTAACCAACAGTGCAGAGTCAATGTGCGGAGGCACCGGCTAGTTCAGGTAGTTGAGGTAATATGTACATGGGTAGAGTTAAAGTGACTATGCATGAATAATTAACAGAGTAGCAGCAGCGTAAAAAGATGGAGTGGGGGTGCAAATAGTCCAGGTAGCCATGATTAGCTGTTCAAGAGTCTTATGGCTTGGGGGTAGAAGCTATTGAGAAGCCTTTTGGACCTAAACTTGGTGCTCCGGTACCGCTTGCCGTGCGGTAGCAGAGAGAACAGTCTATGACTAGGGTGACTGGAGTCTGACAATTTTAAAGGCCTTCCTCTGACACCGCCTGGTATAGAGCTCCTGGATGGCAGGAAGCTTGGCCCCAGTGATATACTGGGCCTTACGCACTACCCTCTGTAGTGCCTTGTGGTCGGAGGCCGAGCAGTTGCCATACCAGGAGGTGATGTAACCAGTCAGGATGCTCTCGATGGTGCAGCTGTAAAACTTTTTGAATATCTGAGGACCCATGGCAAATCTTTTCAGTCTCCTGAGGGGGAATAGGCTTTGTCGTGCCCTCTTCACGACTGTCTTGGTGTGTTTGGACCATGATAGTTCGTTGGTGATGTGGACACCAAGGAACTTGAAGCTCTCAACCTGTTCCACTACAGCCCTGTCGATGAGAATGGGGGCGTGCTCAGTCCTCTTTTTTTTCCTGTAGTCCACAATCATCTCCTTTGTCTTGGTCACGTTGAGGGAAAGGTTGTTATCCTGACACCACACGGCCAGGTCTCTGACCTCCTCCCTATAGGCTGTCTCATTGTTTTCGGTGATCAGGCCTACCACTGTTGTGTCGTCGGCAAACTTAATGATGGTGTTGGAGTCATGCCAGGCCATGCAGTCATGGGTGAACAGGGAGTACAAGAGGGGACTGAGCACGCACCCCTGAGGGGCCCCGTGTTGAGGATCAGTGTGGAAGATGTGTTGTTACCTACCCTTACCACCTGGGGGCGGCCCAGTCCAGGATCCAGTTGCAGAGGGAGGTGTTTAGTCCCAGGATTCTTAGCTTAGTGATGAGCTTTGAGGGCACTATGGTGTTGAACGCTGAGCTGTAGTCAATCAATAGCATTCTCACGTAGGTGTTCCTCTTGTCCAGGTGGGAAAGTGCAGTGTGGAGTGCAATAGAGATTGCATCATCTGTGGATCTGTTGGGGCGGTATGCAAATTGAAGTGGGTCTAGGGTTTCTGGGATAATGGTGTTGATGTGAGCCATGACCAGCCTTTCAAAGCACTTCATGGCTACAGATGTCAGTGCTGCGGGTCGGTAGTCATTTAGGCAGTTTATCTTAGTGTCCTTGGGCACGGGGACTATGGTGGTCTGCTTGAAACATGTTGGTATTACAGACTCAGTCAGGGACATGTTGAAAATGTTGGTGAAGACACTTGTCAGTTGGTCAGCACATGCTCGGAGTACACGTCCTGGTAATCCGTCTGGCCCTGCAGCCTTGTGAATGTTGACCTGCTTAAAAGTCTTACTCACATCGGCTACGGAGAGCGTGATCACATAGTCATCCGGAACAGCTGGTGCTCTCACGCATGCTTCAGTGTTGCTTGCCTCGAAGCGAGCATAGAAGTGGTTTAGCTCGTCTGGTAAGCTTGTGTCACTGGGCAGCTCGCGGCTGTGCTTCCCTTTGTAGTCTGTAATAGTTTTCAAGCCCTGTCACATCCGACGAGCGTCAGAGCCGGTGTAGTACGATTAAATCTTAGTCCTGTATTGACTCTTTGCCTGTTTGATGGTTCGTCGGAGGGCATAGCGGGATTTCTTATAAGCGTCCGGGTTAGAGTCCCGCTCCTTGAAAGTGGCAGCTCTACCCTTTAGCTCAGTGCGGATGTTGCCTGTAATCCATGGCTTCTGGTTGGGGTATGTACGTACGGTCACTGTGGGGGGGACGTCATCGATTCACTGAAAATAGCTGTGCAGCGACGCTCCCCATCCAACCTGACAGAGCTTGAGAGGATCTGCAGAGAAGAATGGGAGAAACTCCGCAAATACAGGTGTGCCCAGCTTGTAGCGTCATACCCAAGAAGACTCAAGGCTGTAATCGCTGCCAAAGGTGCTTCAACAAAGGACTGAGTAAAGGGTCTGAATACTTATGTAAATGTCATATTTCCGTTTTGTATTTTTTATAAATTTGCAAACATTCTAAAAACCTGTTTTTGCTTTGTCATTATGGGGTATTGTGTGTAGATTGATGAGGAGGAAAAAAAAACAATTTAATAAATTTTAGAATAAGGCTGTAATGTAACAAAATGTCAAGGGTTCTGAATACTTTCCGAATGCACTGTATGCGGGTTTCTGCATGTGAAACACTATGGGGTCAGAGCCATTTATACATCTTATTATATTATTATTAATAAAGCGGAGACAATTCAGAAGGGAAACCCGAGTCTTGTGGCATCAGCTGATTGCATCAGCGGACATTGTACCAATTGGATTCACACTACTTACAAGCGGTCTATTTAAGTTGACCAATTCTACACATGCTTCCTCAATGCTGGATATCATTTGCCGGTGTCTCTTGCTGCCGTTGCGTCTGTAACTAGCTATTACTTGCAATGCTTGCTGTTTCTGATATCCCACCACCACCCCAGCATCCACCTGTCTGGGTTATGTGTCTCTTCCTTCAGGGGATTTGATATAGCATATCGTGCTCACTGCCTAAAGTTATATTATCATCTTCATATGACGCTTCGCTCTGGCAGTGAGCTACCCTGAAGGAGCAGAGTCAAGACTATGCATTATCTTTTCGAATAAATGGTTAAACGTATGTGTGGCATTTCCTTTCTGAGTTATTATTATTATTATTATTATTATAGCACCTCCGTTTTAACATGACGTAACACACACCTGTTTAACTGTATATTACATGTCCCTCTGCAGGTTGTGCAACATGGATGACCAAGATCGTCCTGCTGTATTGAAGCCTATCTCTCATAGACAGCAGAGGGCCACGTCTGAGTGGGAGAGAACTCCGTCTCCCAGGGTGCATAGCGTCTCAGGTCCACTCACCATAGAGAATGGTGTTATCTCACCAGAGTCCTACTTCGCGATGAGCTATGAACAACAACAACAGTTACAGCAGAATAGATTGCGGAATCACCCCCACAACAATAACAACAGTAAGTAACGCCATACAATTCTGTAAAGCACTTTGTGACAACTGCTGATGTAAAAAGGGTTTTATAAAATATGATTCAGTGATTGATTGATTGATTCCCATTCCAGAACCGGAATTGGAACAAGAATTATTGGAACCGGAACTGGAACCGGAATCCGATTTCAGCCCGAGCCCCGACCAGAGCTTGGAACAGGAAGTGGACATCCCCATAGAAACGGACATCGACGACTTCCAGGTGGAGGGGCTTCCCGAGGATGAAGAGCCAATAAGGACGGAGCTACAATGTTTCGCCCTGCCCGTCACGGTGTGTAACATAACTCACTATACTGCTAGGGTGTAGGGTGAAGTTGCCACTGAGGTCAGGATTGGGGAGGGGAAACTAGTGCTAGATCTGTACCTAGCGGAACCTTCACCCCGGAGCTTGTTGCTAACCTATATAACTATACTGGACTCGAACTAGTGATCCTCTGCTTTGCAAACAAATGTGACCACCCACTTGACAACTTTTTGGCCAGTTCCGCCACCAGAAAGCTATCAATTCGGCGACGCGAGTTGAGACATTTCAAGACATTTTATGCTGTGGAGTGAGCTTTCCGGTACGATCTTACCTCCATTACAGGTGCTGGAGACTGACATCGACACGCTCCCTGATCAGGAGGCCTCGCCGGCAGGTAGGATGACAGTGGAGAATGGGTCTCTGGATGGAGAAATGGAGGACCAGGGGATGAGGACCAGAGAAGAACTTATGGAGGAGCTGTTTCCCCAGAGCAGTGAGGGCGAGGCGGGCATGGAGAGCTGGAGAGGGGCCTACCGTAGCCCCAACCTGGAGCACAATATCGACAGCCTGGATAGGTGAGTGTGTGTGTGTGCGTGTGTGGGTTATGTGTATTTCATATTTATATGGTATACACATATCATAAACTTCACAATTAACTGCATTTACAGTGGGGGAAAAAAGTATTTAGTCAGCCACCAATTGTGCAAGTTCTCCCACTTAAAAAGATGAGAGAGGCCTGTAATTTTCATCATAGGTACACGTCAACTATGACAGACAAAATGAGAATTTTTTTCCAGAAAGTCACATTGTAGGATTTTTAATGAATTTATTTGCAAATTATGGTGGAAAATAAGTATTTGGTCAATAACAAAAGTTTCTCAATACTTTGTTATATACCCTTTGTTGGCAATGACACAGGTCAAACGTTTTCTGTAAGTCTTCACAAGGTTTTCACACACTGTTGCTGGTATTTTGGCCCATTCCTCCATGCAGATCTCCTCTAGAGCAGTGATGTTTTGGGCAACACAGACTTTCAACTCCCTCCAAAGATTTTCTATGGGGTTGAGATCTGGAGACTGGCTAGGCCACTCCAGGACCTTGAAATGCTTCTTACGAAGCCACTCCTTCGTTGCCCGGGCGGTGTGTTTGGGATCATTGTCATGCTGAAAGACCCAGCCACGTTTCATCTTCAATGCCCTTGCTGATGGAAGGAGGTTTTCACTCAAAATCTCACGATACATGGCCCCATTCGTTCTTTCCTTTACACGGATCAGTCGTCCTGGTCCCTTTGCAGAAAAACAGCCCCAAAGCATGATGTTTCCACCCCCATGCTTCACAGTAGGTATGGTGTTCTTTGGATGCAACTCAGCATTCTTTGTCCTCCAAACACGACGAGTTGAGTTTTTACCAAAAAAGTTATATTTTGGTTTCATCTGACCATATGACATTCTCCCAATCCTCTTCTGGATCATCCAAATGCACTCTAGCAAACTTCAGACGGGCCTGGACATGTACTGGCTTAAGCACGTCTGCCACTGCAGGATTTGAGTCCCTGGCGGCGTAGTGTGATACTGATGGTAGGCTTTGTTACTTTGGTCCCAGCTCTCTGCAGGTCATTCACTAGGTCCCCCCGTGTGGTTCTGGGATTTTTGCTCACCGTTCTTGTGATCATTTTGACCCCACGGGGTGAGATCTTGCGTGGAGCCCCAGATCGAGGGAGTTTATCAGTGGTCTTGTATGTCTTCCATTTCCTAATAATTGCTCCCACAGTTCATTTCTTCAAACCAAGCTGCTTACCTATTGCAGATTCAGTCTTCCCAGCCTGGTGCAGGTCTACAATTTTGTTTCTGGTGTCCTTTGACAGCTCTTTGGTCTTGGCCATAGTGGAGTTTGGAGTGTGACTGTTTGAGGTTGTGGACAGGTGTCTTTTATACTGATAACAAGTTCAAACAGGTGCCATTAATACAGGTAACGAGTGGAGGACAGAGGAGCCTCTTAAAGAAGAAGTTACAGGTCTGTGAGAGCCAGAAATCTTGCTTGTTTGTAGGTGACCAAATACTTATTTTCCACCATAATTTGCAAATAAATTCATTAAAAATCCTACAATGTGGTTTTCTGGATTTTTTTTCCTCAATTTGTCTGTCATAGTTGACGTGTACCTATGATGAAAATTACAGGCCTCTCTCATCTTTTTAAGTTGGAGAACTTGCACAATTGGTGGCTGACTAAATACTTTTTCCCCCCACTGTACGTAGCACATTCCATTAGATTCTCAAATTCCACTAGATTCCACAAATAACTTAACATTGTCAGGGGGGAGCATCTCTTCTTGCACCAATGTTTAGCCATCATGCACATATTCTTTTAGTTTTACATAGATCCTGAATGTAATCAACTCTATCCTTACCCTCCCCCCTTCTCTCCTCTCCTCTCCTCCTCCTTTCTCCAGGCGTTCTGGTGCCAGCTCCAGTTGTTCGTCCTACTACTCTACCTCAGCAGCCAAAGCTCAGCTCCTCACTCAGATGAAAGACTACTGCTCAGACACTAGAGACACTGATGATGATGATGAACTGTCTTACAAGGTACACACACAACACACAACACACTCTTTCAAGATAAATCCTAGCTTGTATACTAAACACACACACACAGGATCGAAGCTGACTGTAACTGACTTTGCGCTCTCTGTAACACTCTCTTTCTACTCTTCCTTTACCCCCTCTCTCCCTTCTTCCCCCCCCCCCATTTCCCCCTCCCCTCCCCCCTGTCTCCCCCCTTTACAGAGGCAGTTGATGGAGAGTCTACGTAAGAAGCTAGGCGTTCTGAGAGAGGCACAGAGAGGTCTACAGGAGGATATACGGGCTAACGCACAGCTGGGAGAAGAGGTGTGTGTGTGTGTGTGTGTGTGTAGTACACACACACACACATATATACAGTGCATTTTCCACATTTTGTTACGTTACAGCCTTATTATAAAAGGGATTACATTGTTTTTTTTCCCTTTATCAATCTACACACAATACCCCATAATGACAAAGCAAAAACAGGTTTGTATACATTTTTGCTAATTTATTCAAAATAAAAATACTGAAATATCATATTTACGTAAGTATTCAGACCCTTTACTCAGTACCTAGTTGAAGCACCTTTGGCAGAGATTACAGCCACAAGTCTTCTTGGGGATGACGCTACAAGCTTGGCACACCTGTATTTGGGGAGTTTCTCCCATTCTTCTCTGCAGATCCTCTCAAGCTCTGTCAGGTTGAATGGGAAGCGTCACTGCACAGCTATTTTCAGGTTTCTCCAGAGATGTTCGATCGGGTTCAAGTCCGGGCTCTGGCTGGGCCACTCAAGGATATTCAGAGACTTGTCCCGAAGCCACTCCTGCGTTGTCTTTGCTGTGTGCTTAGGGTCATTGTCCTGTTGGAAGGTGAACCTTATCCCCAGTCTGAGATCCTGAGCGCTCTGGAGCAGGTTTTCATGAAGGATCTCTCTGTACTTTGCTCCATTCAAATATTTCTAAAAACCTGTTTTTACTTTGTCATTATGGGGTATTGTGTGTTGATTGATGAGGAAAAACAACAATGTAATCAATTTTAGAATAAGGTTGTAACATAACAAAATGTGGAAAAAGTGAATGGGTCTGAATACTTTCCGAATGCACTATGTACAGAGAAACACACACACACACGTCTTCTTCCCTCTATGTTTAGAGGTTGGTGCTAGTGTTGTGTAAGCCTAACGAGGTGGATACGTTCTAACTTTCCTCCTTCTCTCTCCTCCCCCCTCCTCCTCCTCTTCTCCCCTCTAGGTTGAGAGCCTGGTGCTAGCATTCTGTAAGCCCAATGAGGTGAATAAGTTCAGGATGTTTATCGGGGATCTGGATAAGGTGGTCAGTCTGCTTCTGTCTCTCTCTGGACGGCTACTTAGGGTTGAGAGCTCACTGGACAACCTGGAGGTCGAGACTGGACACCATGAGAGGGTAAAGAAAGAAAGAAAGAAAGAAAGAAAGAAAGAAAGAAAGAAAGAAAGAAAGAAAGAAAGAAAGAAAGAAAGAAAGAAAGAAAGAAAGAAAGAAAGAAAGAAAGAAAGAAAGAAAGAAAGAAAGAAAGAAAGAAAGAAAAATTATACGAAAAAGTACAACATTAAAACAAACTCTGTTCTCTCTCTCCCCCTCACTCCCTCCCTCCCTCCCTCACTCACTCACTCACTCCACTCACTCACTCACTCACTCACTCACTCCCTCCCTCCCCCCTCCCTCCCTCACTCCCTCCCTCCCTCCCGCCATAGCTCCCCCTCCTGGAGAAGAAGCGTCAGCTCCTGGTGCAGCTGTCGGAGGCCCAGGACCTCAAAGAACATGTAGACCGACGGGAGCAGGCTGTGGGAAGGGTGCTGGAACGATCCCTCTCCCCAGAACAGGTACACACACACACACACATACACTGGCTTCGCACTGCTCCAACCATTCCAACTTCCAAGTGTGTGTGGGGGTGTGTGTCTTTCTGAGGGGTTGGGATAAAGCAGAAGTCAAATTTCTGTTGGACCTTGTGTACAATTGGGCAGTAAAGTCATCTTTATCTTCTTGATCCACAGCATCGTGACTACAGTCATTACGTCAAGATGAAGGCAGCATTGCTGGTGGAACAGAGGCAGCTGGAGGACAAGATCAGGCTGGGAGAAGAGCAGCTAAGAGGGCTACGGGAGAGTTTAGGGCTGGGTCTAAGGATGGGATTAGGGATGTCCATGGGATATGGGCACTACTAAACCACAACCAAGAGACCTGAAAGCTGGGTGGTGTATGGACACTATTGAGAGAAAGTGAACAAGGACAGTTAGAGCCGTTAAGAACCTAAAGGGAGAGTCTGGGTCTGGGGTTAGGGATGGGGATGGCCATGTTGATGGGGTATGGACACTATTGAGAGAACTAACCCTAACTTAAAGTAGAATTTTGCTTTCTTTAAACCAAATCTCTTTTCCAGACACTTTTTTTGCGATTTCACATGTTTTTGAGAAACTTACCTTCACTTCATCATCCTTGTTGTGCAGTACGGGGGCTCTGAAAAACCATGAGCAAATGCTCCAAAAACACCCAAATACGTCCTTTTAGAAACAGAAACACTGAGTATAGTGATGCAGGTCTTTAGATGTTGTACACGTGAAATTGTGTCATTCCAAACTTAATCCGCAGTGTTATATTCCATTTTGTGTGGAAGTGAATTGCTGGTTGGGGTAAGTTTCTCAAAAACAAGTGGAATCGCAAAACAAAGTGTCTGGACCCTTCTATAACAATCCATTTACATCAAAAAAAATATTTGGTTGTAAAAAAACAAATGTCTCCTTTAAGGGAACTTTAGAGATGGGTAGATGGTATTAGGGATGGGCTTGGGGGATGTATATGGGATTCAGTCACTATTGAGTGAAAACCACCCTACCCAGGGAGACCCTAGAGTGGGGTAGATGGGCTTAGGAATGGGGTTAGGGATGGGGAGAGCCATGGAATGTCTATGGGGTTTGGGAACTATGGGGAGACAGCCAACCTATGCAAGGAGACCCTAGAGTGGGGTAAATTAGGATGGGGATGGGTATGGACATTATTGAGAGAGAACCAACCCAACCTAAGGAGAGCCTGGAGGGCTATGGGAGAGTTAAGGAATGGGGCTGGGGTTAGGGCTGAGGGATGTCCATAAAGTATGGGAACTGTAGGGAGACAGCCAACCCACACACGGAGGCCCTAGAGTTGGGTAAACACGGATAGGGATGGGGTTAGAGTTGGGGGGTGGGATATGGGCACTACTTCCTAAACCACTCCAGTACTTTTCCTGACACTAACACCTACACAGTGTTACACAGAGGTGGCCATAAAACCCCCACAAGAGAACGCATTAAGTCTGCACTTGGCAGTATCTGTCCATTAAGAAATACACACCTACTATTTGGTGTTAAGTGTTACTCTTAGGTGTAACAGTGTGTCTATCTTTCACTTACCAACTGTAACCTCACAATCGCATACTACATACACTACAATACGAGGCCAAAGAAGAAGAAGTTGTTGTTTAGTGTGTGTTACTAAACAGGACTCGAGAAAGTATTTATTTATTTATAACTTCTCTGTTTAGCAATACTGACAGGGAGAATTTGGGGTGCTAGACAATAGTATTTTCATTAAACTGTTGGGAAGTGCATTGAATACATAGAAATGGATAGAAGGTGCATGTGCCAAAAAGCTGCCCATGCTGTCACATAAACCATTATAGCAAAGAAGAGCCCTCTATCCAATTCTATGATTGCATATAATCCTATTACAGTAATATGTCCAGAAATGGAGAGATACAGCTGTCTCTCTCCACTCTCATATAACACTATACTAGCCTGAGTGCCAGTCTGATTGTGCTATCATACTAACTCCTTAACGCTTATTGTCATGCCAAACATGTTTGGTTTGACAATGACAGCGATGGAGTTTGTCAAGAGCACAAACAGATTTGGGGCCTGGCTAACCCTATACCTGATAACTGCATCACATTTTACTCTCTGGTGTTTGACACTCCATTGACACTGCCTTAACCCTACACTACCACACCACGTCTTAGATTGTGTATATTGGTGTAGGGTGAAGTTTCCCCTAGACGCTGATCCTGGGTCAGTTTTGCATTTTCCACACTGATGGTTAAGGTTAGAATAGGGGGAGGAGAAGCTGATCCTAGATTTGTACCTATAGGAAATTTCACCCCGGAGCCCTAACATTACCACGCCATGTCTTACAGTGTGTATATTAATTCATTATTATTGTGTATATTAAATATTGTGTATAGAAGTGATATTCATGTGTTATAACTGGAATCCATCCTTGTAGTGTAAATATGTCATGAGAAGTTATGTCATTTATATATATACGTCACATGGCATATATACGTCATATGGCAAAGTTCATCCTAATACAATACGTGCCAATTTAAAAAAAATATATGTATATACAGTGGGGAGAACAAGTATTTGATACACTGCCGATTTTGCAGGTTTTCCCACTTACAAAGCATGTAGAGAGCGGACTGTAATTTTTTTTTTCTGTAATTTTTATCATAGGTACACTACCAACCAGTAAGAATTCCGGCTCTCACAGACCTGTTAGTTTTTCTTTAAGAAGCCCTCCTTTTCTCCACTCATTACCTGTATTAACTGCACCTGTTTGAACTCGTTACCTGTATAAAAGACACCTATCCACACACTCAATCAAACAGACTCCAACCTCTCCACAATGGCCAAGACCAGAGAGCTGTGTAAGGACAATTGTAGATCTGCACAAGGCTGGGATGTGCTACAGGACAATAGGCAAGCAGCTTGGTGAGAAGGCAACAACTGTTGGTGCAATTATTAGAAAATGGAAGAAGTTCAAGATGACGGTCAATCACCCTCGGTCTGGGGCTCCATGCAAGATCTCACCTCGTGGGGCATCAATGATCATGAGGAAGGTGAGGGATCAGCCCAGAACTACACGGCAGGACCTGGTCAATGACCTGAAGAGAGCTGGGACCACAGTCTCGAAGAAAACCATTAGTAACACACTACGCCGTCATGGATTAAAATCCTGCGCATGCCCAGGCCCGTCTGAAGTTTGCCAATGACCATCTGGATGATCCAGAGGAGGAATGGGAGAAGGTCATGTGGTCTGATGAGACAAAAATAGAGCTTTTTGGTCTAAACTCCACTCGCCGTGTTTGGAGGAAGAAGGATGAGTACAACCCCAAGAACACCATCCCAACCGTGAAGCATGGAGGTGGAAACATCATTCTTTGGGGATGCTTTTCTGCAAAGGGGACAGGACAACTGCACCGTATTGAGGGGAGGATGGATGGGGCCATGTATCGCGAGATCTTGGCCAACAACCTCCTTCCCTCAGTAAGAGCATTGAAGATGGGTCGTGGCTGGGTCTTCCAGCATGACAACGACCCGAAACACACAGCCAGGGCAACTAAGGAGTGGCTCCGTAAGAAGCATCTCAAGGTCCTGGAGTGGCCTAGCCAGTCTCCAGACCTGAACCCAATAGAAAATCTTTGGAGGGAGCTGAAAGTCTGTATTGCCCAGCGACAGCCCCGAAACCTGAAGGATCTGGAGAAGGTCTGTATGGAGGAGTGGGCCAAAATCCCTGCTACAGTGTGTGCAAACCTGGTCAAGACCTACAGGAAACATATGATCTCTGTAATTACAAACAAAGGTTTCTGTACCAAATATTAAGTTCTGCTTTTCTGATGTATCAAATACTTATGTCATGCAATAAAATGCAAATGAATTACTTAAAAATCATACAATGTGATTTTCTGGATTTTTGTTTTAGATTCCGTCTCTCACAGTTGAAGTGTACCTATGATAAAAATTACAGACCTCTACATGCTTTGTAAGTAGGAAAACCTGCAAAATCGGCAGTGTATCAAATACTTGTTCTCCCCACTGTATATAGTTATATATATATATATATATATAAAAAAATTATTGGCTGTTTGACCAAAAACATGCATGCATGCAGACCATATCTTTTATTTTTTTTTTTTTTTTTTGCAAGACAGCTATGTCTTACTATACTTGAGGACTTTTTGGGGACCAACGCTTCCCATTCAGAATCTTATTTTCCTGAAACCTAACCTTAACCCCTAATGCCTAACCCTAAACCTATTCACTAACCCTAATTTTAACCCCAATTCTATCCCTAACCCTGAACCAAACCCCTAAACCTAAAATAGCATTTTTACAAATGAGGACCGGCAAAAGGTCCTCACTTCCTTGAATTTTAGTTGGTTTACTATTCTTGTCAGGACTTCTGGTACTCACAAGTATAGTAACCGTGTGCACACACTCACACAGATATATACACACACACACACACACACACACACACACACACACACACACGTACACACACAAGACAACCCTGCTCCATTGATTAAATATTACCCCATAAGAGGCTGGTGCTGACTATATATATATATATATATATATATATATATATATATATATATATATATATATATATATACACTACCAGTCAAAAGTTTGGACACCTACTGATTCAAGGGTTTTTCTTGTAGAATAATAGTGAAGACAGCAAAACTATGAAATAACACATATGGAATCATGTAGTATCCCAAAAAGTGTTAAACAAATATATATATTTTATATTTGAGATTCTTCAAAGGAGCCACCCTTTGCACACTCTTGGCATTCTCTCAACCAGCTTCATGAGGTAGTCACCTGGAATGCATTTCAATTAACAGGTGTGCCTTCTTAAAAGTTAATTTGTGGAATTTCTTTCCTTCTTGAGCCAATCAGTTGTGTTGTGACAACTGAAGATACTGAAGATTGCCCTATTTGGTAAAAGACCAAGTCCATATTATGGCAAGAACAGCTCAAATAAGCAAAGAGAATTACAGTCTATCATTACTTTAAGACATGAAGGACAGTCAATACGGAACATTTCAAGTTTCTTCAAGTGCAGTCGCAAAAACCATGAAGCGCTATGATGAAACTGGCTCTCATGAGGACCGCCACAGGAATGGAAGACCCAGAGTTACCTCTGCTGCAGAGGATAATTTCATTAGAGTTAGCAGCCTCAGAAATTGCAGCCCAAATCAATGCTTCACAGATTTCAAGTCACAGACACATCTCAACATCAACTGTTCAGAGGGGACTGTGTGAATCAGGCCTTCATGGTCGAATTGCTGCAAAGAAACCACCACTAAAGGACACCAATAAGAAGAAGACACCTGCTTGGG